GCTATGGTCTTAAACTTTTGATCAGCTGATGAACAGCCTGTTTGAGTTTAAATGCAGTTTTCAATAAATTGCCAATCTCTGTTTTTTTGTCTCTTGCTCCTTTTTCTTCTTTTGACATTTTGAAGCAGTTCTTACAACCTGGTTATGATCCACCAGCGCGAAATGCGAATACTTGGAATGTTTCCCCCGGTCTTAAGATTTTGTTCAGGAGTGTGTATATATATATATATATATATATATATATATATATATATATATATATATATATATATATGAATATGTTGCAAAATGTGGAAAAGGTTTTCGGGTAATGAAGTGCAGTCTGTTTTGTAGGTGATATATTTTCAATCAATTTGACATTCAGAATGTACCTCTGAATAAATGTTGATGTTGATATTGGTCTACTAAATAGATTTTTTTGGTCTTGCCCATCTGACATTGTGGCCCATAACCTAAAATGAGTTTGATACCCCTGCTCTACAAGCTTATAGATTTGTGATGCTGTCTAACTGGACAAGTAAAATCTGCCCAACACACCTTTGGGGAGATGCCAGTGCAGAAAACTGGTCTTCTGTTAATAAAAGTACAGTCTTTTTGAATTTTGGGTCCCTGGAGGACTAGTGGTTAAGCCTCGGCGCTCTTGCCTCCACAGTCCAGGTTCGATTCCCATCCAGGGAACCGACCCCCGCCACTGTGGTTGCACAAGACATTGCGCTCCCAGTGCTTGTCCCAAGCCTGGATAAACATTGGGAATGGTTGTGTCAGGAAGGGATTCTGGTATAAAAACTGTGCCAAATCAACTATGCAGACCAATGATTTGCTGTGGCGACCCCTAATGGGAGCAGCCGACAGAAGAACAACTGTCGGCTTGCAAATAGATGTGGAGTTTATCCATGAAGATATGATATATGCACTTGAGATTTTCTTTAAAATGTAAAGTGCTTTATAAATTAAATGTATTATTATTATTATTATTATTATTATTATATATGACTGTGAAAGAGTAATGTTCATATGGTGTGGAGACAGTGAAAGTGAATGTATCTGTAAACTGACAAGAAACATGGTTTTTTGTTCTATTTTATTGCTCTGCTATAGTTTTAATGTCTCATCTAATCAAGAAAGCAGTTGCCATCTGGCCAGACAGAATACAATATCCAGAGCTTTCATATTTCTGTTAAACAAGCTACTACCTCTCTTGCTGTGCTTTATTCATAGCGAAAGCTGTTGTTATGCCATTATAACAAAGCAAATATTTACCTATTTTAAAAGAAAACTAAAGGCAGATAATACAACAGGAAAATTAACATCTTAAAACATCTTATCTTGGATTGTAGGACACAAACACACCATTGTCTGTGCCTTACAAGCCGAAATAAAAAAGGAGGGACTACTACTATGGATAATCTCAACAATATAGCCAACAACCAACTACCAAACCTCAGAGGAGAAATGGCACCAACCACAAAATTTGATTTTAGTTGACTATAGTGCTTGTTATGCTACAGTCTATACAGTCAGAAAAAAGTACTAAGCTGTACCTATCTATGTCACTGGGGTATGAATATATTACATGGTAATGTCAAAGCACTTTAAAAACTGGTTTAATGCACATATTTGGACCTTAAGGACTACTCTTGTACCTATAATTATTTTTTGGAGTAAAGATTTAAAGGTACAATACATGCACTATTCCAAGCAAAAGATACACACTAAAGGTACAAAAGATGTATGCTTGAGGGTACCACCCCAGGGACAAGGAAATATACAGTTTAGTACCTCTTTTTTCTACAGTTTAGTACCTTTTTTCTTTCATATCTACATATATAATTTTTTTTTTACACATTTAGACAATTTTGGAAAAACTAGGTTCATTCACACATGAAAAAAAGATTTGGGATGCAAAAATAACAACACACAAGAATAAAAAAGCAAAAGCATCAGCGATAATAAAAGCCAAAGCAGCAAAATTGAAAAGATGCAACAATCAGTTGGTGTTTAAAAATGACAGTTTTTTTTTCCTCCATCTTGTCATGCATTCATCTCAACTCCTCACAGGTGGATTCACATGCATTGCAGATTGTAGAAGAAGGCAGCGACAAGCGATCGGCAGGCTGAATCAGCAGATGTGCACATGCATCAAGTAGCCAAACTGATTTGTATCCAGATATGAGTAACTTTGGTTTGTACCATCTCTCCTGGTGAGGATGCCAATCGTGTTTCCACACAGAATCCCTCAAGCATCTTTCCTATATCGCTTTTGTCACAATAACTGTGTCTTGCTGTCCATCACTGCTTCAAATATATCCACATTCTTTATAACATCCGATGACAAGTTTGACACATGTATACATCCCTCTGGAGTCCTTGATTCAGTCACTGACAGTCCACAACTCTTGACACTGAGATGAGCTGTACATTTTCATCGATCTTTCATCTTCATCTTTCAAAGTACCATCCCTCTTTCAAACTATCAACCTTTTTTCGACGGCTTAAACAATGTCCCTGGTAGTTCCTTCTCCTGATAGATCCAGTTAATAAAATACCATTATAGAATTTCGTTGTTATTTAGCTGAAAAATATCCCAGTATTACCATTATACATCATTTTTTGTGCATCACACATTCGTAAATTTTATAACAAGTGAAAGGACAGGAAATTTGCAGATCACAGCTGCAGCTATTTAAAGTGATGTACAAAAGTTTGACAAATAAATCATGTAATCTGTGACTTGCTCCTACTGTTCTGGCAAATGATTCACAACCGAAATGCAGTGTAATACATCCACTTCAGGCAGGGTCTCTGATGCGATTAGTGTTACACCACGCTGGTAGTGTTTTATGACAGTCTATTGCTTAGTAGAGCATGGAGCCTGGCCTCCACACATTGGGCTGCAGCCCCATACTAGAGGTGCTAAAGCGTGGTCTAGGTGCTTGCAGATTTTGGCTACTTGCAGACACTGTCGAGCGCATACCACTTGGGGAGAGGGGACTCAGATCCGGAGCGCTCTTAAACTGCTTGGCTGCCTGGAAAGGTGCATTGGCTTGCAAGGGAACAGGTCCTGGGATGGGCATTGGATTGGGCACAGGGGCAGTGGAAAGGTTGGGGAGTGCTGGTAGGGCCCCTGTAGGGGGAGGAGGTGGTGGGGAGAATGGTGCAGCAGATCGTGGAGTAACAGGAGGAGGTGAAGCAATGTCAGAACGCCACAGGGGCTCAGCCAGAGTGGTGGCAGAGCGTGGTACAATCACAGTGGGGTTCAGGGCTGTAGGTGCTGACATTGGTGTGGGAGTGGAAAAGCGCTTGATCTCATATATACGTGGTGCTTTGACAGGCACTTGTTTCGGTGAGTTTAGGGTTGTGCCGACTAGCCCAACTCCATTTGTCATTGATGGCTGCTGCTGCTGTTGTTGATAGGTGGTGATAGTCTGGGGAACTCCCCCACCATAACTGAACAAGGAGGAATTGAGCTGATATGGCTGTCTGCTTAAGAAGTCCAGAGCTTTGATGCCTTGTTTGTGCTGACCAGGGTTTGTCTTTATTCCTCTTCTTGCCGTCTCATTGGCCTTACTACCTCGTTGGGCAACTGGGGGGCAGGAGGGGGACAGCAATGGATTGTAGCTGATAGGTGGAGGGGCACGAACATTGGAGGAATATTTCCAGTGCGCTGGAAGAGATGGAGTGGGTGAGGGATCTCGTGGTTTGGCTGGAGACTTTGGTTGTTTGTCCACCACATAGCGATCCATTCGACTCTGTCGACGAGCAAACAGATCTGCTCCTTTTCCTCCCATCTGGGGGATATCAATTGTGCTGTTTGCTGGCTTAGGAGCGACCAGTGGAGGTATCTTGCTCCTTTGAGCCTGCATGAAGTTACAAGCCTCAGCACCCAGGTTGAGGTGATCTTCCTCTGGACCTGACTCAAATCCTGGCTCTGCCCCGGAACGGGACCTCTCGTCCAGGTTCTGCACTAGAGACAGCAGCTCAGGGTTGTAGGACGCAGGTTTCTTCTCTTCAGTTTTACTGAACATGGGCTTCTTAGTGCCACGGCGGCGGGCTTCCTGCAGGATGCCTGTTCGGGCAGCGGGTACAGAGATACGCTGCTCTCGAGAAGAAATCCCTGTATTCGAATTGAAAAGGGGATACTGATGGACTATGGGAGACTCTGTTGTTCCAGATGTTGTGGTTGCCACTGAGATATATGGGTTGAAAGACACTTTGTGAGGTGATGGTGGTGGTTGCATGTTTGGGCCCTGAGAGGCTGGTGCAGGTACCTGAACAGGGGTTGGGGCTGGGACATGGGGAAGGGAAGAGCTAGGGGTATACGTGGATAAATATGACTGTGATGACACAGAGGGTGGTGATGGAGGTTGAGCCATGATAGGAGTTGGGCTAAAGGACATGTTTTGTGTTGGTGGTGAAGAAAAAGACTGGGAACTCATAGCTGGGGCTAAGTTAGATGTTGGAGTAGGGGCAGCTGGAGGAGAGTGATAAGCAGGCGTTCCTGAACTCTGTGGTGCGAAAGGTGTAGCATTTGAAGAAGCAGCAGAAAATGGGGCAGAGGCCACAGAGGAAGATGGAGACAAGACAGAGGTGGGGACACTGACAGTGGATGGTCTTAGGGGGATGTACAGGGATGTACTGGCAATTGCTCTCTTCCCATCAGAGCCAATAGGAGAGAAAGAAGCTGGTACTGTTGCCACAGACACTGCTTGGGCCTGAAGTGAGGTCTTCTTGGTGGTATTGGGTTTGAAGGCAACTGGGGCTGTTGCAGCTCTTTGGCTGACACAGCCAGGGGCAAAAGGCCTTGCAGTTCGGTTGAGAACTGAGCTTCCAGAGGAAGCATCTAACTGCTCTGGAAAGGTTCCTGACATAGTGGGCATGGGAGTCTGGCCTGGTGAAGACAACACTAAGCTGGCTCTGCTCACCACCACAGGCTCCCCATTCACCATGCTGGTATTGTGGGAGGAGATTGGGGTTATTGGAGTAACAGATGTGTAGGTCAGCATGGTGTCAGGCTGTTGCTGGGGCATGGGGGTCGGTGTAGGAGTAATGGGTGTTGGTATATGTTTCTCAGCCTTCTTCCTCTGCTGCTCAAAGAGCTGTGCCCCTCTCCCTGAAGTGCCACTCAAGCCCAGGCTACCCTCTGCCTCCCCATCAGACAGCACGCATGCCGATGTCCTCCTCTCTAAAACGTCCAGGTAGCCACTGTCCCAGGTAGGGTCTGGTGCTGCAGAAAGGCTGTCCTCATCAATCTCTGACTCACTGCCAAGGAAAAGGCTCTCGTCCTCTGTCTCTCCGTCTGTGTTGCTGCAGGTCTCAGTGTCAACACTGCCAAAGCAGGTGAGTGTGTATTTTTTGGCCCTCTGCCGGCGCTTTTTGAACATAAGCACACCTTTAGAGTGAGGGTTAGGAGCGTCTGTCAGCAAAGAGGCAATGGTGCGACACTTGGATCGAGCCTCCTTCACCTGCTTGTCCTGCACGCTCTCACTTCTGTGCAGTTCTAAGGATGAAAGGAGACAGTTAGAGTTCCTACTACAGTCAAAACAAACTACAGGGGATAAGTTTTCAAAGAGAGGTCAAAGAGAGATTTTTTTTATGATATTTTATATAGCCTGATGTAAAGTGAGATCATTCCCTGAATTTGTAAATTACAGGTGCCTTCCTATAACATCACAGGAATA